TGTTACAAATGGCAGAATTTGAGTTTTTAATGGATGAATAATATTCCATTGTACATATATACTACATCTTCTTTATCCATTCATCTGTTGATGGGCACTTAGTTTGCCTCCATATCTTTGTGACTGTAAATAACGCTGCTATGAACATTGGGTACATGTATCTTTTTGAATTAGTGTTTTTATTTAAAAAGAATGAAATCTTGCCATTTGGGACAACATGGATGGACCTCAAGGACATTAACACTAAGTTAAATAGGTCAGACAGAGAAAGGCAAATACTGTATGATCTCTTTTATATGTGGAATCTTAAAAAAAAAGAAATCAAGCTCGTATATACAGAGAACAGATTAGTGGTTGCCAGCGGTGAGGGGGGTGGTACAAAAAATGGGTTAAGGAAGTACAAAAAAAGAAAGGACAGAAGGAGGGAAGAAAGAAAAATATCTGTAGGAATTTATGTGGTTTAATGTCTAAGTTATAAATATGTTCCAGAAAAGTTTGTGCCAATTAGATTTCTAGAAATAAAATTATAACTTAAATTAAGTAGAATTTTTTATTGTGGGTTGAACTTGTTATAACTCAAATAACTGTTACGGGATGTGTGGTAAGCAGAATAACGGCCCCCCACACACCAAAAACATTTGCGTAGAGAGAGAAACTACGATGACATGTCAGATTGGCATAGATCCAAAATCACATTTGTTGGCCAGCCTGAAAGAAAAGAGGAGTGAACCTACATTGTTACAACCCAATGAAGGTTATATTTTTAAATTATCTGTGGTATAAAGAAATAAATTTGACTTTTAAATATTGACGTTATATCCAGCTAGCTTTCCGGTGCAAAAAAATTTCACAAACATAATGGCTTAACACAGCACATATTTATTAGCTCATAGTTCTGTAGGTCAGAAGTTTTAGCATGATGTGGTTGGATATTCCACTCCTGGTCTCAAAGGCTAATAGCAAGGGATCAGCCAACATGGGTTCTAAGGAAGGATCTATTTCCAAGCTCATTCAGGCTATTGGAAGAATTCAGTTTTCCATGGTTGTAGTACAAAGGTTGCCATTTTCCTGCTGGCTATCAGCTAAGAGCTGCTAGTTTTAAGAGGCTGTGTACATTCCTTCTCACATGGACCCCTCCATCCCCAAAGCCAGCAGGGTAGAATCTTTTTTTAAATTTTTTATTATTTTACTACTCAGTCTTTGAAATCTGATAGGCATTTTACACTAACAGCACATCTTTTTTTTTTTAACATCTTTATTGGGGTATAATTGCTTTACAATGGTGTGTTAGTTTCTGCTTTATAACAAAGTGAATCAGTTATACATATACATATGTTCCCATATCTCTTCCCTCTTGCGTCTCCCTCCCTCCCATCCTCCCTATCCCACCCCTCCAGGCGGTCACAAAGCACCGAGCTGATATCCCTGTGCTATGCGGCTGCTTCCCACTACCTATCTATTTTACGTTTGTTAGTGTATATATGTCCATGCCTCTCTCTCGCTTTGTCACAGCTCACCCTTCCCCTCCCCATATCCTCAAGTCCGTTCTCCAGTAGGTCTGTGTCTTTATTCCTGTCTTACCCCTAGGTTCTTCATGACATTATTTTTTTTTAATTCCATATATATGTGTTAGCATACAGTATTTGTCTTTCTCTTTCTGACTTACTTCACTCTGTATGACAGACTCTAGGTCCATCCATCTCACTACAAATAACTCAGTTTCGTTCCATTTTATGGCTGAGTAATATTCCATTGTATATATGTGCCACATCTTCTTTATCCATTCATCCAATGATGGGCACTTAGGTTGTTTCCATCTCCGGGCTATTGTAAATCTCTCTTATATTGAATCCCTCTCATGCTTTGAACCTCTCTAACTGCTCTCTGACCTCTAGACCCAGATTTAAAGAGCTCTCATGATTAGATCTGTCCTACCTGGATAATTTCCCTATTTTAAGATCAGCTGATTAGGGACCATGATTAGATCTGCAAAATCCCTTCAAGCAGCACCTAGGTTAGTGTTTGCTTCAAAAACTGGAGGAAGGTGTATGTATACCAGGGGCCAGGATCTTGTGGGCAGGCTTAGAATTCTACCTACTTCAGTTCACCATCTGGTCCCGGAAGATCCATGTTCATCCCTTATGCAAAACATACCCCATTCCCAAGGTTCCTAAAGGTATCATCTCATTATAGCATCAACTCAAGTCCAAAGCCTCATCAAAATCTCATTAGCTCAAATTTCCAAAATCTCATGATCTAAATTATCTAAAACAGGTGTGGATGAGGCTTCTAAAAGTAAACCACCCTCAGTGCAGTATCTATCTGTGGACTTGTGAAACTAAGGACACAAGTTACATGCCCCCAAAACTTCCACTGTACAGTGGTGGGACAGGCACAGAATAACTGATACAGACATTCTAGTTCCAAAGGGTAAAAATGGAGAGTAAAAAGGAGTCATTGATCCATAAGAGTTTTGAAGTTCAGCTAGACAAATGTTGGATCTTTCTCAAGGCCTGGGGATAATCCCTGTGGCTCTTGGCTCTGTCCTCTGAGCTCTCTGCTTTGTCCTTTGCACTTTGGTTCCACCCAAGAATGCAAAGGGGCCATCTTAGAGTTCTGTCCATTACATATTCCTAGTTACCTAATAGTGTTCATTGGGAATGACTGTTAATTTCATAAAGATATTTTTTATATATCTATTGAGATCATCATACAGTTTTTCTCTTTAATTTGTGTTGAATGACAGTTATCTACTTTCTAATATAAAACTATTCTTCCTTTCCTAGGTTAAGCTGGACTTAGTGTTCATGATTTTTAAAAATGTTTTTATAAATTCTTCAATCTGTTTTGCTAGTATTTTATTAGGATTTTTGTATCTTTTTAACGTACTGTTAATTTTGCTTTTATATATTTGAGGCTATTTTATTTAGTTGCATAAATATTTTTTCAGTTTTCTCACTGAATTGAATTTTATATCATTACCCATTTTTGAAGAATTGTTTGAAACAACAGTAAAAGATTTTAAACAAATCAGATAAATCAATAATTAGTTAAATAAAGTATAATATATTCATACCAAATTCATATGCAACTCTAAAAAATGATGAGGAAGCTCTTTAGGTACAAATGTGGGTTACTATTTAGATATATTAAGTGAAAAGAGAAACATTAGTGCCCGGAAAATAAGTTTTCTGGACTGATTCCCTTTGTAAACAGATAAGAATATTAGATAAAATATATTTAAAATAACATTTCATTGAAAGTGTGGATGATCTGGCAGGAAAGATGAGATATTCAGGCCAAAGATTTTGTGAAGACAGTCTTCAGGGCATAAACTGATCGTTGAAGGAAGATTTTACCCTGAAGACATTTGATCACAGGGGTTTTTCTGGATTCCCAGGAAATGGGGACAACAGGAGTCAGACACCAAAGCCCTGGCAGTGGGAAGGTCTAGTAAGAGACCTCTTCCCTAAACGTTTAGATGCCAAAAACTTACTGAGGCAGTGAAGGGTAAATACACTGCCTCCTAACTTTCCAGGGAGACAGGCAAAAATTTTTGCCCTGTTTGAACCTTGGAACTGAGCAGAAGAAAGAAAAGAATGCCTCAGAAATTTAATCATTACCGAGCCCTTCCTTTCATTTTAAACTCACTGGCCTTGGGTCATCTGAAAAACATCTCAAACCACGCATGTACACACATACACCAAGATGACTTGTTCCAAAGCTTTCTAAACAACCTAATCCTCACCATGTATGGAGGAGGGCTTGTCATGGTCACTTAGGGGTGCCCTTTTGTGATTTGTTTTCTTCTACGTTACTCCAGGAAGAACATGCTTTACTTCTAAATAAGTCTTGAATTAAAGAAAACATAGGAAATTAGAAAAGAGTATAGAAAAAGAATATATATATGTGTATATGTATATGTGTAATATATATATGTGTATAACTGAGTCATTTTGCTGTACAGCAGAAATCAGCACAACATTGTAAATCAACTACACTTCAATAAAAAATTTAAAAATCTAAAAATCAAACCATTGTAAAGCAATTATATTCCCATAAAGATGTAAAAAAAATAAAATTAAATTAAAAAAAGTCACAAGGGGTGTTCTAAAGTGCTTGGGACTGAGTAACGGTAAGATACTACATGTCACATTCATGGAAAGTTAGAGCAAATTGTACACTCCTAAACATATTTATCAGAAAAGAAGAGAGAACTCAAAGACTTGGAAAATGAACAAAGGGACAAACCCAAAGAACCTAAAAGGGAGGAAATGTTAAGCATAAAGGCAGGAATCAATTATATATATATATGTATATATGCTTATGTCTTACACATGTTTATATCTTTTATATGTTCATGTATAAATTTGAATATAGATTCCAATTCAAAGGAAAAATATCAAAATATCAAAATGATACAAGAAATATAAAATTTAATAGCCCACTAACATTTATATAAATTGAAAGAGTATGCAATCTGTTGCCCACCCTCTCTTCTAGAATTTTGTCCCCTATGACATGGACCTAACACTAATCTGCAGTAATTCCTTACTGTTTTCCCCCTGCCCTGCTTGAGATAAACAGTTAGTCTAAAAAAATATTCTGTAAATATCCACCTGTTGATATACAAGGGTGCAGTGACTCAAGAACATTCATCCTGCCTCACTTGCATCCATGGATCTGTCTCTTTCTCCTTGAGATAAAACCAAAATAGTGCACCTCTTTCTGATATTCTGCACCAAGTGGTAAACTGACAAGTGTATAAGAATCAAAATAACAAAGTGTGAACAATCTAGATACAAGGATTCTTTTATTTAGGGTTTTTCTAATGGAAAACCATAGCAGGACTCGTATTTTTTTTTTTTCTTTCACCTCCTTTCCTGAACATTTCTAAGACCCCATACATACTTTTATGGACAAAAGCCTCTCACATGGAATCTATGGTGTCATATTTGAGCAGGAGAAAACCTATGTGAGGAACAGAGAATAATTTCTACCTTTCCTGGGAGGGACCTGGTTATCCATTTACATAAGGGTGTTCCGGTTGCTTCTCTTCTTGCTGAAGGGTTTGTTCTCTATCCACTGCAAGTGCAAAACACACTGATGTCAGCATAACTCAGGGAGGAACTGAGCAAAATCCATCTAGCACTCCTCTCTGATTTAAAACATTAATCCAAGGGAAATTTGCTTTGTCATACCAGTACCCTTTCAACTCTATCATGTTCTTGCTTTCACATTTCATTTTTATGATATATTTGTTGATTACTAAATATACAGAAAACCTGAGGACTATAGAAAACAAACAGATCCTGCCAAACTATAATTCTAAATGCAGTGAAGATACCCCTCAAAAGTGAAAAAGAAGTAAAACTGTCACTGTTTGCAGATGACATGATACTAGACATAGAGAATCCTAAAGATGCTACCAGAAAACTACTAGAGCTAATCAGTGAATTTGGTAAAGTAGCAGGATAAAAAATTAATGCACAGAAATCTCTTGCATTCTTATACACTAATGATGAAAAATCTGAAAGTGAAATTAAGAAAACACTCCCATTTACCATTGCAACAAAAATAATAAAATACCTAGGAATAAACCTACCTAGGGAGACAAAAGACCTGTATGCAGAAAAGTATAAGACACAGATGAAAGAAATTAAAGATGATACAAACAGATGGAGAGATATACCATGTTCTTGGATTGGAAGAATCAACACTGTGAAAATGACTATACCACCCAAAGCAATCTACAGATTCAATGCAATCCCTATCAAACTACCAATGGCATTTTTCACAGAACTAGAACAAAAAATTTCACAATTTGTATGGAAAGACAAAAGACCTTAATAACCAAAGCAATCTTGAGAAAGAAAAATGGAGCTCGAGGAATCAGGCTCACAGACTTCAGACTATACTACAAAGCTACAGTAATCAAGACAGTATGGTACTGGCACAGAAACAAATATAGATCAATGGAACAGGATAGAAAGCCCAGAGATAAACCCATGCACATATAGTCACCTTATCTTTGATAAAGGAGGCAAGAATATACAGTGGAGAAAAGACAGCCTCTTCGATAAGTGGTGCTGGGAAAACTGGACAACCACATGTAAAAGAATGAAATTAGAACACTCCCTAACACCATACACAAAAATAAACTCAAAATGGATTAAAGATCTAGATATAAAGCCAGATACTATAAAACTCTTAGAGGAAAACATAGGCAGAACACTCTATGACAAATCACAGCAAGATCCTTTTTGACCCGCCTCCTAGAGGAATGGAAATAAAAACAAAAATAAACAAATGGGACCTAATGAAACGTCAAAGCTTTTGCACAGCAAAGGAAACCATAAACAAGACGAAAAGACAACTCTCAAAATGGGAGAAAATATTTTCAAATGAAGCAACAAAGGATTAATCTCCAAAATTTACAAGCAGAACATGCAGCTCAATATCAAAAAAACAAACAACTCAATCCAAAAATGAGCAGAAGGCCTAAACAGACATTTCTATAGAAATATATAGAAGATATACAGATTGCCAATAAACACATGAAAGGATGCTCAACATCACTAATCATTAGAGAAATGCAAATCAAAACTGCAGTGAGGTATCACCTCACACAGGTCAGAATGGCCATCATCAAAAAATCTACTAACAATCAATGCTGGAGAGACTATGGAGAAAAGGGAACCCTGTTGCACTGTTGGTGGGAATGCAAATTGATACAGCCACTATGGAGAACAGTATGGAGGTTCCTTAAAAAACTAAAAATAGAACTACCATATGACCTAGCAATCCCACTACTGGGCATAAACCCTGAGAAAACCATAATTCAAAAAGAGTCATGTACCACAATGTTCATTGCAGCTCTATTTACAATAGCCAGGACACGGAAGCAACCTAAGTGTCCATCAACAGATGAATGGATAAAGAAGATGTGGCACATATATATGATGGAATATTACTCAGACATAAAAAGAAATGAAATTGAATTATTTGTAGTGAGGTGGATGGACCTAGAGTCTGTCATACAGAGTGAAGTAAGTCAGAAAGAGAAAAAAAAATACCGTATGCTAACACATATATATGGAATCTTAAAAAAAAAAAGAGGGTTCTGAAAAAAGGAAGATCAGCTCGGTGCTGTGTGACCACCTAGAGGGGTGGGATAGGGAGTTTGGGAGGGAGACGCAAGAGGGAGGGGATATGGGGATATATGTATACATATAGCTGATTCACTTTGTCATACAGCAGAAACTAACACACTGTAAAGCAATTATACTTCAATAAAGATGTTGGAAAAGAAAAGAAACTTGAGCTACATGCAAGAATGTGAATGAATTAAAAAAAAAGTGAAAGAGAAATAAAGACTATGAAACACAAAAAACATGAGGGAATTTATTGCCAGGAAACCTACCCTGCAGGGAATATGAAAAGAAGTTTTTCAGACAGAAGGAGATTGCTAAAGGTCAGAAAATTGGATGTACAAAAAGAAAGGACAGATGTCAGAAAAGGAATTAAAGGTAAAATTAATTCCTTTAGTTTTCTTATATCTTCATAGAGTTAAAGATCTGCTTTTTAATAGCACCCTTATAAGGAGAGGCAAATCATTCTCCCTACTACCTTGGACAAAAGGACTCCTGCTGCCAGGTCTGCCTTTGTTGGTAGGAAGCTCAGAAAAGTGGGTGAATCAAACAAAAGAGTTTTGACCATATCAGCATATATGACAGCAGATGCTCAAAAGACACTTAAAATTCCTAAGATTGGGTTTGCAAAGTGTATTTAAATGAGCAGTTTGTCAACTACCATTATTACACATTGGAATGTCTGGCTGCTGTTTTTTTCAGTACACACACACACACCACCACCACCATCACATACATCATGAACACACATGTACTCTCCACCACATACACACCACTCACAAATACACAAGCACCATCCACCACAATACACACTTCTCTTTCCTTGTCTATCCACATAACTGTCCAGCTCACATTCATCCCTACAAATTTTTTTTCTTTCCCTCATGAAAAACTTGCGAAAATCCATATTTTCCCCCCAGATTTCCCCAGATTGCTAAATACCTTTGATCAGATCTCTAACAAAGGAGCCCTCCTGATTAATCCTCCTGGGGAATTAATTAATTGTAAATTTCATTTAATGAATAGTAGATAAGCGTATAGTCACTAACCTGATTCAGGACAGAAAAGCGATTCCTTCTTCCCCTGTGCAGACTTTCCTCTCAACTTTTAAAAATACTGAATTACAGGATTTGCTAATTTCAGCCATTTAAATTCTTCATATCTTTTGATCTCCCTAGGTCAAAGCTGAGAACTTAATTTTTAACTTCACTTACATTCCTGCCTTGAATCTTCAGGGGAGGTGTGCAAGTCTTAAAGTCATCCAATGGGCCAGAAACCTCCTAGAAATCTGCCAGTAATTTCATGACCATGACAGACAGACACCACCAGTCTCTGTCCCTACCAGGAAGTAGAACCTGCCTGCCACATAAGAATTTCCAGGATTTTTCTACTGAGGATGGTTCTGTGTGTACAGTACTATTTTGACAGGCGTGCTATGGCTTTCTAAATGCCTTATAAATGACGTATTGGCTTTTTCCCTCTTCTTCCCTCCCTCCTTTCCATCCTTCCTTCTTCCCTCCTTTCCCTTCTGCCTCTCCTCTCTTTTCCTCTTCCCTTCCTCTCCCTCCGTCTCATCCCTCCTCCCCCCACACTCCTTTTGTCATCTCTTCCAAAGGTCACATCTGTTTAATATTCAAGCTACTCAGAATGAGGTACATTTTATTGAGTTGTGTCCTCTGAAGAGTATGAATTCCCTTGTGGCTTCTCCTGCATTGACTGTAAGTTCTGCTGGTTCAGCCTCCTATCTATAGCAGTACTTGGGAGCATTTTACCTTGGAACCCTTTGAAGGCAAACTACTGAGCAGATAGGGACATCTAAACCCTTAAATAAAAAATTGTGCACTATAGTTTCTTACATACTTAAGCGTTTAAATTTTTTTTAGTGTGCTTTTAAAGTGCCCAATAAATGTTTGGCACATAGAAGATGCTCTATAAATTAAACAAATTATTTTCTCTCTCAAGAAATGTTGAAACAGAAGTAGAGTCACAGATGTAGAAAACAAATTTATGGTTACCAGGGGGTAAGGGGGCGAGGGATAAATTGGGAGATTGGGATTGACCTATACTCGCTACTATATATAACATAGATATCTAATAAGGACCTACTGCACAGCACGGGGAACTCTACTCAATACTCTGTAATGAACTGTATGGGAAAAGAATGTAAAAAAAGTGGATATATGTATATGTATAACTGATTCACTTTGTTGTACACCTGAAAATAACACAACATTGTAAATCAACTAGACTCCAATAAAAAGTTTTTTAAAATGTTGAAAACCTTAACCCATTTGCCCAAGAGACTTTGATGTCTTGTCATATACAGCTGGGTTTGTTTTCTTTTTCTGAAGTCTAGGCTCTGCTGATTTTCATCTGGCTATTCCAGGATGTTTGTGCTGTTTGTCCTGTCTGACACGAAGACTGGCAACTTCTGACATTTTCTGGGAAGGGGCCCTTTTATTGATTGAAAGTCCCAGGTCAGCAGCTGTTTAATGTCCACGTTTTAAGCAAACAACCTTCCTATCTGGTGTCAATATCCCCAGTTCTAGGTACTGATTACCCAGGAGGGAACCATCATTCTATTTGCTGGCCCCAAAGCTTTACACTGCTCTGTCATACCCTTTGAAATTACTTCTGGCTTCTACATCTGGATTCTGTGTTTTCCTTATTAAGTTTTTATGTTTAACGTTTTATTATGGAAAGTTTCAAACATTAAAAAAAAAAAAAGTAGACCAGTCTAATATAACCATGTACCCCTTAACCAGTTTCCACAATTTTCAATACTTGGCCATTCGAGTTTCCATATACCCAAAGGTTGTTTTCTGTATTATATCATGTCATTTCTCCTGCAAAAAGTACAGCATGACTACATAGCTCATTAGGACTTTTGAAAACGTAACATGCCATCAGCATATCTAATAAATAAACAATAACTCCTTAATATCATCTAATATCCAGTCATTATGAAAATTTTCCTAATTGCTTCAAGATTATTCATTTATACTTGATTTATTTAAATGAAGATCCAAACAAGATCCACATATGACACTTAATTGTTATGGCTCTCGGCTCTCTTTAATTTCATAACAATTCCTCCCCCTCTTTTCTACTTGCTGTTATTTAAAACAACAATAATACAAGAGTCATTTGCAGAATGACTCTCATAATTGATTTGGCTAATTGCTTCCTGTGTCATTTGATATATTTCTTTATCCTGGGAACTACTAATTATATAGAGAGACTTGGTTAGATTCAGGACATGAATACTTCGTAGGGGTGCTGGATGTTTTCACCATAGCAGGTTGTCTCACTTTTAGTAAGACTGATCAGGGGGTTCAGATATTCTCTGACTTATCCACTAATAAAGTACTTAACCTTTCACCTGTGATTTTAGCTGTTGTTAATGTTACCTAGAACTGTTATTTCATTAGAAGTTGCAAAATGGTGATTTTCTAATCCTATCATGCCTTCATTTATGAGCTGGAATTTTCTACAAAACAGGAAATATACCTAATCAAATATTTGGTTATGCTTAAATACAGATTTAATAGGAAAGTCAGGATAAATACTTTATAAAATTCCAGAATAATAATTTAGTGCCTTAGCAAAGATGACCAAGTAAAATTATGACCTCATGGAATTTGATGTGTTTCAATCCATCAGTCCTTACTCTATTTTGATTCTCAGATTGTCTCCTCTTTGGCCAGCAAGAGTCCCTTCAAGCTGGCTTCTATGTCCTTATGACATGACCCTAATGATCTTGGTTAGCTTCCTTATTTTCTAGCACAAATTATATTCTAGGGTCCCCAAATATTTTCTTTTCCTGGACTTTAAGGAGTGCTGGTTCCTTTCAGAAAGAAAGAACATTTGGAGACCACACACTGGGCACTGGGGTGCTCATTGCGTCTAGGCCTTTTCAGTGGAAGAGTTTGGAAACAGTTTTTAAGAGAAAAATCATAAGTTCTAATATTTCCAATTCAAATTGAACGTTAGAGTGATTTCTTTTAAAGTTCGTTAATTTTATACTCTTGCATTTTCCCCTCATATTGAACGTCTTAGTTAATATAATTACTTTTCTTGCTTTATTATACCCATATTAACATCAAAATAACACTAATATTATTACCAAAATAAATTTGTTTCTTCTCCTAGAAGCAGACCTTGACATTAAGATTCCTGTAAAAGCGATTTAATAGGCAGTATTTTCAGAAAAACAATGAAAACAGCAGGGAAGGAGGGAAGTGGGCAGAAAAAGAAAGGAGAACAAACAAGTGTGCGGTAACAAGCTAAATCTGGAGGAAGGCAATTTGGGGTTCATTCTGCAAGGGAGCAGTGGGCACAGCCTTGACCATACCTCAGAGTTTTCCTAACCAAAGCTAAAGAAGTTGGAGTATGTATATGCCAGCACCCATTAATCCCTGGCTAAGGGCTGCCTCTGGGAGGTCCTAACTCCCCAGACAATTTTACCTTTCAGTGAGCACAGATCAAGTAGGTTCCAGCAGCCCAAGGGCAGCCCTCAAACCAAGTGATGGGGGTGCTGGCTGTTGCCAGTGAAGGCATAAGGGGAATTTGTGTGCTCCAAAATATAAAGGACCCCAGGAGATAAGGGCAGCGCACCAACAGCTTCTGTTATCCTTCACACTCTTCAGTTCCATTCTCCCTTCACATTAAGTTCATAGCACTGATTCTTCAGGAAGAAAAGATTAATGAAACATTTACACCCCTGCTGCCGTAATCAGTCCCAAGGACGTAACTGATATTCATGATCTTTCTTCATCTACCCATCACAGGTCTCCTCTCTTGGCCAACACATTTGCTGCTTTGGGTTGCCTGCAGAGTGGGGTAACCCAATAATTCATCTCTGAAGGTTTGATGCCATAACTTTGATGTAGGTGCTGTAATTACTTTTTCATAGTTAAAATGGACATGGGATTCCCTGAGCTCTGGACATACTTGTCTCTGTCCCTATTATGTGGTAGCAACCAACAGTCTCATAATGATCGGGGTTAAATACTCCTGGCCAGTATGGCGACTTCTTTCACTCTCAGTCTACCAGCAAGAGGATCCCAACGTGACAAGTCAGCATTCATAGTTTAGGCTTATTGGAAGCCTTACTAAGTCCGTTCCTGGAGGCATTCCTCTCTTCTGGGAACTAGGACTTCTATACATGCTGAAAATAAAGTTGTTCTATTAAAAATATGCCATCTGGCACAACACACACACAATTAAGACTACCATTGGATTAAGTCTATGGTAATCCTTCATCTTCTGTTACAATCCATTTTTGCTGGGGCCACAAAATGGTGAGTTGAATGGGAATATGATAGAGGCCATCACCCTAGCATCCTATAAATCTTTTAAAATGGCTTTACTCTCCGCCATTCCACCTGGCATGCAGTGTTGCTTTTTTTTTTTTTTGCGGTACGCGGGCCTCTCACCGCTGTGGCCTCTCCCGTTGCGGAGCGCAGGCTCAGCGGCCACGGCTCACGGGCCCAGCCGCTCCACGGCATGTGGGATCTTCCCGAACCGGGGCACGAACCCGTGTCCCCTGCATCGGCAGGCGGACTCTCAACCACTGCGCCACCAGGGAAGCCCTAGCATTGCTTTTGAGTTACTAATTTTCCACGAGTGGACGATTTCAGGCATCCCGTTTTGGCTTATATAACGTTAAGTCCTGAGTCACAGCTTTGTATCCCCGTATTCACAAAGTCTCCCTCATCCAGTCTTACATTCTGCCCCAAAAGCCTGGTCCCATATTCCAGACACACCCTCCTTATTCCTGACACTTTATTGGTGAAAAATCCCTTCCCTCCCTTGGTGGGACCAGTACTATACCAGTTAGGATATACTAAGATCTGACCTAGTTATCTGTCTAGCATTAGGTTTATTATTTGTCAGATATTAGAGGAAACTGTAACAGAAACTGACCAAGTAAGCTTTTTCTTGCAAGGCATCTGTATCAACTGTGCTTTCTATGTGGTCTTCAGACAAAGAGGCTGTTGTCTGCCAGCACCAGGTATGGCCACTCCTGCAGGATAAGTTTCAGGTTTACCCCAAACTTGTCTTTAGTATAATTGTTGTGCCTTTAAATCCAGTCTTCTTTGTGTTTCTGCTAGTCTGACCATCAAATCCTGAGTCTGGTCTTCAGAACAGGTCTTCCTTCTGGTTATTGGAGATCGTGTATCTTTAAATGCTGCCAGGGAGATTTTCTGACTTTCATGTCATGCTCTGATGTAATTCTCCTGCTTGAGGCCCTCAGTGGTACTGACCATCAAAGAGCCAGCTTCGCAGTTGTTATAATTGCTATTTCCCCATATCTCTCAACACTAGAAGTATTAACCAAGCCAGTGCATGTCCTTTCATCAGTATCCCACTTCCCATCCCAGTGTCCCACAGGAGAGGGTCTTCATAATCATACTGCTACAGTAGGCCAGGATTATTACCACTGCTCTTACTAACATCAAGAAGGTCCTTGTGCCATCTGGCCTGTGAGTGATTTAACTCCAGAAGTCTATCCTGA